AAAAAAAGGAGGAAGGGGTGACTTTGTCCAACAAGAAATGCATTCATCACCTAACTTATGCAACTGTAACCCCTCTGTACATCACCTTTAGAATAACAAAAAAAAAGAGGAATCAAGGCTGACTGGGGCTTTTGTCCTGGATGGGGTAGATGATGGTGCCATTGCAGAGGCAGGAAGCCTGAGGGAGGAGGGAAGGGAATAAGAGCTCCACGGTGGTGTATACATGCTCAAGGCTACTGTAACCAGTCCTCCAGAGTGTGCTGAACAGACAGACATGGCCTCCAGGAGCTTGCTGGCCGGGACAGGACTGGCAGGTGCTCTCCCGCTTTCTTACAGCTCTAGGGTTAGAGAACAGTGGTTCTCATCCAGCAGAAACAGCGACCACAAGCCATGTTACCCCCTACACCGTCCTTCACATAATTCCCGTGCTTCAAAGCAGGCATCCTCCTTGAGGACCTGATGTCTGCTGGTGGCTGTATCAAGGGCAGGCCAGGGGTGATGCTGGGGCTAGAAGGCAGGGCAGATCTCCTGTCCTACCAGAGCACAGCTGCCCGGCCCAGCGTGCCCACAGTGATGTCAGCCAGGCCATCGCCACTGAAATCCAAACCACCAGCCAAGGACATGCCAAAATAGTGGAGTCTTGGGGCCAAGGTGGAGGCTCTGATCCTCTGTGAAAGAAAGAAAAAAACAAAAACAACAAAACATGGTGTGAGGTAAGGAAAGAGAAGAGAAAGACGTCTTTCCTGGGAGTTTCCATCATCTCCCACTTTCCTGCCCCAGGGAGCCCTTTCAACCTAGAAGCAGCAAAGTAGCATTTGAATGAAGCCAGGAAGACTAAGTGAGAGAGAGGGGGGAGGGAGGAATCAGTAAAGAGAGGGTTCTCAAAGTAGGGAGGAGTGTCTACCAGGGGTTGCTCCTGTAGGCTGGAGTGTTGACACTGAAGAAAGTAGCCAGGAGCAAGGCTGGGCTGGGAATCCCAGAGAGGGATGCCAGGCCTGAGTTGGGCTCATGATGTTGGGGATGAAAAGGGGAGGCTGGGTTTGGGACAAAGCTAGAGTCAGTAGTACATGGAGACTGACAGGCTCGGCTGAGACTGTCCAAGTGGCTGACCCAGGTTTCTGTTGGGGAGAAAAAGAGGAATGGAGCCCATGGGAATTTGGGAGAGGCTGGCTTCCATTGGGCGTTGTGAGAGTGAGAAGACTGGGAGCCAACCAGGAAGAGGTGTCAGCAGCTGGCAAACAGGATGGGCCCAGGAAACATGCAGCCAAGCTGGCAGTGGCCCAGGGTCAGGTAAAGCATAATGGGGTTGGGAGGGAAACAAAGACGAGTCAGAGAGGGAGGTACCTGAGGCAGGTCAAGAATAGCAAAACAAGACAGGCACCAGTGGCTCGTGCCTATAATCATAGCTACGCAGGAGGCTGGGATCTGAGGATCACTGTTCAAAGCCAGCCTGAGTAGGAAAGTCCGTGAAACTCATATCTCCAGTTAACCACTAGAAAACTGGAAGTGGCGCTGTGGCTCAAGTGGTAGAATGCTAGCCTTGAGCTGGAAAGCTGAGGGACAGTACCTAGGCCCAGAGTTCAAACCCCATGACGGACCAAAAAAAAAAAAAGCAAAACAAGGAGATACAGATCAGGAAAGTGAACAGTGCCCCAGCCTCTCCCTCTCTTAAGGTTCTGTAGAAGGCCTGGCCTGGACCCCCTTCCCCCCCCCCAGCCTTTTGACCTCCTCATCTTTACTGACATTCCCAACCACTCAAGGCCAGCCTAGCACTTAGCTCTCAGGCTGAATTGGCTCAGGTAACCCCACTTAGAGATAACGAGCTTCAGAGAAGGGCAGGAGAGGCTCCCAAGTCACCTGTGAGGGGCTGGCAGGGAGGCCATCCCGGCGTCCATTGTAGATGTACACGCTGCCAAAGCTGGCCCCATCGTCCAATGTGAAGCCCTCTAGTGGGGCTCCGATGGCCACGTCTGTAAGCCTGTCCTGATTAATGTCCCCCACAGAGGCCATGGCGAAGCCAAAGCGGCCACCACCAGGCTCTACATGTCCACTCAGTGTGCGTGCCAAGGAGAAGGAACCATCCTGCAAAGCACAAAGCAGGCAGCCCTCAGAAAGTCATGCATGACATCCTCCCTACCTCCAGGGGCAGGTCCAGGGCTCAGATGGGTAAGGGACTCTCGAGGTTCCACACTGAGCCCATGGTAAAACTGGGGTCCTCTCGTCTTGACATCAAGACTCCCCAGCCACACCCCCTTGACTACTACATGAAGGAGGGCTAAATTAGCCATTGGGAAGCCTGGGCTCCAGGCATGGCCCTCATACACACTCGCTAGGCAACATCACTGTGACTCACTGAACTTCCTCATCTGTAAAATGGGAGTAATGGCTACCTTCTGTTACCAGGAGAACTGACACTCCCACCTGCTCATGTAGTTGATACACGTAGACTCTGCCTTCTTCTCTACGAATGTGGAAAAATGGAGCAGCCACCAGCAAGAAGTCCGTGGTCCCGTCCATGTCCACGTCCACAGGGCACAGCTCAGAGCCAAAGTAGGACCCCATCTGTACCCCAGAAAAAACTTGGTGCTGAGTGCTGGGGTGGCCTCTCCAACCTTCAGCAATGCCAGGTTCCTGCTTATAGAGTTCTTGGACCAACAAGTGGGATTTTTCCAGATCAGTGTGTGTGTGTGTGTACTCATGCACACGCACACCCATACTGGAGCTTGAACCTCAGGGTCTGGGCACTGTTCCTTAACTTTCCTGCTCAAGGCTGGTGCTCTACCACTTGAACCACAGCTCCACTTTGGACTTCTTTGGTTAACTGGAAACAATTTCACAGGCTTTCCTGCTCAGACTGGCTTTGACAGACATGTTCAGATCTCAGCCTCCTAAGTAACCCACTTTGTTCACTAGGTCACTTTGTGACCACCAGGCAGACACTCAGAGCCACAAACGTCTACCGAGGAGCCTAAGTTTTGCCCAGGTTGGCTTCATCTCTTTTCCTAGGGTCCCCAAAGCCTCTACTGGCAGCAGGTACCTGCTCTCCCTCCAGCCTTGGTACAAAGGTGGCCTCTCTGTCTTTCTTCTGAAGCTCAAACACTGCCCCACGTTGTTTGTACCGTGGAGCCCCAGAGATGTAGGAAACTCCACAGGCCTTGTGTAGTACCGCCACAGAGTAACCTGTACAGAGGTAGATAGAAACTCACATTATTAGCTATACCACTCCACTCAATATAGACTTTTGTTATTGTTGGTCGTGGGGCCTGGGTGCTGTCCCTCAACTCTTCAGCTCAAGGCTAGCATTCTAACACTTGGGCCACAGTGCCACTTCTGGTTTTCTGAGTGGTTTATTGGAGATAAGAGTTTCCTGGAGGGAAGTAACAAAATGCTGAAACAAGGATACAGGTTGACCCATTGTAACAATGAGATGAACAAGACACTATGTTGAAAAGGAACTTTACAACTTGGGGGGTGGGGAGTAGGGGAGGTAGGAAGGGAAGTGATGGTAGGGGAAAAACAAAGGAGGAGGTAACAATGCTCTATAGGAAATGTTTTTATTACCTTACTCATGTAGTTGTAACCCCTCTGTACACTAATACTACAATTTAAAGAACAAAGAAAAATCTAGTATAATAAAGGACTTACTTATTAAAAAAAAAAAAAAAAGCCTCACAGACTTTCCTGTCCAGGCTGGCTTTGAACTGTGATCCTCAGATCTCAGCCTCCTAAATAGCTAGGATTACAGTCATGAGCCACCATTGCCCGGCTTCAATATGAACTTGTACACACAAATTCACTGCCTGCCCCTTTCTTTTTCCTTTTTTTTAAGGGATGGAAATTGGATGTGTTTGTTATTTAAAGAAAAAGAAAAATTCCTTAGGATTCTTAGCCAAGAAAGGAATATTTTGCATGTGAGGATTAAGAGGACGAGGTGTGGGGGCCAGCCAGTCTCCATCATTTTCCTTCCCATAGGCAGTAGCCCAAGGCATCCTGTGCCCTCAACCTCAAGGTCCCCAGCGAGGGTCCCTCCTGCTCCCACCAGGAGTCCTAAAGTGTAGTAAACTCCTCTCACGCATCATCAATATGCCTGCCTCTTCAGTTTACCTAGGCCCCAGGTGAGGCCCCGCCCTCACCCCTCCAGGCCCCGCCCTCACCTCCCTCACCCCCCAGGCCCCGCCCTCACCCCTCAGGCCCCGCCCTCACCTCCCCCGCCCTCGGGCGGCCCCGCCTTCTCCCAGCCTCCCTCACCCAGGTATCCATACTGCGCCGGCCCGGCCCCTGCGGCCTCGGCGCTGTGGTTCAGGAAGCGGCCGCGGCGCTGAGCGGGGCTGTACAACACGGCTCCCCCCGACCAGGTGAAGGCGCCCACGGCGCCGAGCAGCAGCCGCCCCTGCGGAGGCAGGGAGAGGCGGTAAGGGCGGGGGCCGGAGGGCAGCCGGCCCGGGCCAGGGGCGGTGCGAGCCCGCGGGTCTCCTGCAGGCCCGCAGACCGGCGCGCTGCGTCCGCTGTGTTTCCTTCCACTGGGTCCAGGGTTGTGTTTTCTCTGTGTGTGCGTGCGTGCGTGCGTGCGTGTGCATGTGTGTGGACGGTCGTGGGGCCTGAGCGCTGTCCCTCAGCCCTTCAGCTCAAGGCTAGCGCTTTACCATTTGAGCCACAGCGCCACTTTCGTCTCTTTGGGTGCTTAATTGGATGAGTCTCATGGACCTTCTAGCTGGGGCTGGCTTTGAACCGCTCTCCTCAGATCTCAGCCCCCTGAATAGTCCCCCCCCCCGCCCGGCATCCCGCCAGGATCATGTTCTCCCGGCGTGGTATCTCTCCCTCTCCTCTCTACGGAAGAAACAAACGACCTGGGTGCACGCCACGAGTGCACAAAGCAGACTTCCCGGGGCGCGACCATTATCTTGTCTCTTAGTGGTAACAGACTTCTTCCCTTCATCCTCAAACGACTCCCCCAGAGGTCCCTCACAGGGCCCAGGGCCATCCTCTCCCAGCAAGTCTGCCCATGTGGAGTAGACCACAAACCTCGTCCAGAATCTGTGCGCTGAAGCCAGTCTGTGCCAGCTGGTAATGAAGGGCGTCTCCGACGGTGCCTGGAAACCAAGGAGTCCAATGAGGTCTCCACCATGCCAGAGAATGTGGTCCCGTGGGGCTACTGCCCCAGAGGAATCGATGGAGAATAGGGAGACTTGGCGTTTGCTTTAGCATAGTTGGGAGCCAAAGTTCACTCTTTCTGGGCTCAATTCCTCCGGGAATGAGGAAGTGTGCCTGGGGTGTCCTTGTTTCTGGAGTACCAGTCCAATTCATCAGAGTTTCTTGGAGATTCTGGGAGGTAAGGAGGGCTGGGGTGTAGTGGTCTTTTTACCAGTGAACAGCTGAGGCTCAGACAGGTGATTGGGGTGGAACAGAGGCCCTGCTGCTGGGGGGAGAGAGGAAGCGTAGCCCTCACCTTCCATGTGAATGATGCTCTGCTGCAGCTTGCTCAGCAGCCCATCCAAGGCGCCGTAGTTGGTCACCTTGAAGGCGTGGGTCTCACTGGGGTCCGAGGCTATCAGCTTCAGTTCCTTGTCCTTCTTAGCATTCTGAAATTCATCTCCTACCTGCACAGAGCCCTCAGGATCAATAGGGACTCCATCACCTCCTGCACGCTCTTTCTTCTATGCTCCTGTCCTCTGCCCCTTACATGAATGCATGAACAACACACACACAAATGCATGTGCACGTGCACATACAGGCACACACACACACATTCACATTCAGGAAAACTCTCTAGTTTTGCCAAACTACATGTGTTCTTTCATGCAGAAGCTAGCTTTAGGGCCCTCCTCACCTTTTCTAACCGAAGCCTGCCACTCCTGTCATCCACCAGGACATGGCTCAACACTGTTTCCCCCAGGAGCCTTCCTGTGGGCTCTCCTCAGCCGACTCAGCCAGCAAGCTTTGCTCACCATAAAAAATAAGGCCCATGTCAATGAAGTTGTGGACAGGATGTGGGAATCAAGAGAAAACAAGGAAAGCCAAGTGCTGGTAACCACTCATGCCTGTAATCCTAGCTATTCAGGAGGCTGAGATCTGAATATCTCAGTTCAAAGCCAACTTGGGAAGGAAAGTCCATGAAATTCTTTATCTCCAATAAACTACTCAGGGGCTGGGAAGGTGGCTCAGTGGTAGAGCGCTTGTCTTGCATGCATGAGGCCCTGGGTTCGATTCCTTAGCACCACATAAGCAAAAAGAAAAAAGCCGGAAGTGGCGCTGTGGCTCACATGGTAGAGCGCTAGCCTTGAGCTGAAGAGCTGAGGGACAGTGCCCTGGCCCAGAGTTCAGACCCCACAACTGGACCAAAAACAAAACAAAACAAAACCAATAAACTACTCAGGAAAAATAAACAAAAACACAGAAATGGTGCTGTGGCTCAAGTGGTAGAGCACTAGCCTTGAGCTGAAGAGCTGAGGGACAGTGCCCTGGCCCAGAGTTCAGACCCCACAACTGGACCAAAAACAAAACAAAACAAAACCAATAAACTACTCAGGAAAAATAAACAAAAACACAGAAATGGTGCTGTGGCTCAAGTGGTAGAATGGCAAGCCTTGAAAGGAAAAGCTAAGGCCCTGATTTTGAGCCCCAGTACTGATACAAAAAGGAGAGAGAGAGAAAGAAAAAGAAAGACAGAAGAAAGAAAAGACAGAGAGACAGACAGAAAGAATGAGTGTTAAGTTTGGATACACTGCTTTCAGAAGTTCCTGTGGGAGCTCCCTACCCAGGCTGTACCACATGAGGGGGTGCCTCCTGGCTCCTGGCTCTTACCCCAATGGCAAAGCGCTCAACACCCTGCATCTTCGGAGAGTTGATGACAGTTGTGAGGTTGAGGGGGTCTCCAAATATGTCACCATCGGTGAGCACCACCATGACCTTGGATGCCTTTTTCCTGGAGCCACGGCTTGATGTGAAGATATGATCTCTGACAATAGAAGGCAAAGTGAAGAGAACTTTCCAGGGGAAATGGCTAAGATCTGGGGGGTGGGGAGGTTTTGTTCACTGTCCCAGTTCTGAAAGGCCTTGAAAAGGGTGGAGATGCCCCTTGTGTCAAGCGAGGCATGTGCTCCTCACCTGCTCCAAACAAAAAACACCTGGACAAAATATGCCCATATCTGCCCCTTTCATGCACATGCAGGAATCATGCTGACAATATTCCAGCACAGTACTTAACACAGCACTTATGTGTCAGGTACTGCTTTAAGCATTGTATATATTTTAAACTACTTCATTCTCACAAAATCCCACAAAGCAAAATCAACTATCTCCCTGTTAGAAGTGAGGAAATTGAAACACAGAAAGGTTGGGTAACTTGCCCAAGGCCACACAAGTACAAAGCTAGAAGTTGGACCCAAGCAGCCTGTCCCTGAGCACGGCTGCTCTGTGTCTCACAGGAGAAAGCCCAGAAGAAGGTCTAGAGGGCCATCCCAGTTTTCACCCCACTCTCTCAGCCAGGGAAGAGCTGAACCCTGGCGCCCTCCTCTCAGCTCTGTGCAGCCACCTCCTCAGGGCAGGATGCCGCTGAGTCTCCCACTCACAGCACGTGCTGCATGGCTGAGGCAGTCTTGGTGACACTCTTCACTTGAGTGATGTTCTGGACTCTGGCAAGGGAGGCCATGGCATCCTCACTGTCTCGAAGATCAAATTCAGTCTGGATCACTTCCCCATACTGCACCAAGGCAAAGCTGCACTGGAGGGAGGAGGGTCAATGGGGAAGGATGTGTCTTCAGGCTCAAGGCCACCCTTGCCTAAGAAGACTTCCCTGGACACAACGCTCATACACCTGAGCCTGAGCAGGAGAGGAACTTTGTAAAGAGGTAGAGGAAGATGTCATTATCATGGCCCCTAGAGAATCAGGTCTCTCCCTGAATCCTCCATGTTGGCTATAAGATTGGCCAGGTGCTTGCTTTGGCTAGTGGGACAGGAGAATGTTACTGTGATGAGAAGGCCAAGCCAGCCTGCTGGAGACCCAGGGTTTGAACAAGTGAATGAGGCCATCTCAGGCTATACAGCCCCAGCCAAGCCAGACATCTGCCTGCAGTTGCAGGGTAACTCCAGGCAAAAGCAACAGAAGAGCTACCCAGCTGAACCCTTAGAAGGACTGGGAGAAAATACAAAAGTACTTTTTTTTTTGGTTGGTCATGGGGATTGAACTCGGCTTGGGCGCTGTCCCTCAGCTCTTCAGCTCAAGGCGAGCACTCAACCACTGGAGCCACAGCACCACTTCTGGTCTTCTAGTGGTTTTATTGGAGATGAGTCTCACAGACTTTCCTGCCTGGGCTGGCTTTTTGAACCATGAACCTCAGATCTCAGCCTCCTGAGTAGCTAGGATTACAGGTGTGAGCCATTGGCGCCTGGGAGTGCTTTTTGTTTGGTTGTTTTTTTTGTCAGTTGTGGGGCTTGAACTCAGGGCCTAGGCTGTGTCCCTGACCTCTTCAGATCAAGGCAAATGCTCTACCACTTGAGCCACAGTGCCACTTCCAGTTTTCTGGCTAATTGGAGATAAGAGTCTCAGATTTTCCTGCCAGGTTGGCTTTGAACCATGATCCTCAGATCCCAGCCTCCTGAGTAGCTAGGATAACAGGCGTGAGCTCAGCTAAGGTGGTTGTTTTAAGGCAGTGATGATGACACACAGTCATAGGTGACATGAGTCCAGGCCACACAGAAACCCACCTCAAAGCACTTCTCATAAAAGTTCCTCATCATGTTGGAGATGAAGTCTTTGGCTTTCTGAAAATCTTGGGGTTCAATGCTTCCTGAGCCATCCAGGACTATGGCAATCTCAGTGCCTAGCCAAGACAAGGGAGCAGGTCAGGAGGAGGCATGGACGTGGGGGGAGAAGTGGGAACACATCTCTGTTCAAGCCCCAGAGAAGCTGTCTTGAATAAAAGCTCTTGTTTTAAAGGCAAAGAGAGAGATGGAACTTTCTCAGGCTCTGACTTGCTGTGTGCTGCCACTACCATGGCAGGAGTAATGAAGAGCCTAGCCCCTTCTTCTGTGTTCCAGACCTGGGAACACCTGATCCTTGGAGGCTGCCAGCCAGGAGATCTGATCTGGGAACCCCCAATGCGCCTTTTCTCACCAGCTTCCTCCTCCTGCTCTCCCTCCTCCTGCTCTCCCTCCTCCAGGGCCCGATGCCTTCTGGCTAAGTTCTTATTCTCTCCTGGGCTGCCTCCTTTATTCCTGTAGCAGTGGCCAGTGTCCACCTGCGCATCTGGGTCCAGGAGACTTTCTTTAAGAAAAACACATGAAGATTCAGTCAGAGACTTCATATTTTCCCAGGCAAGCTGGCACTTAGCTTTGACCTGATAATGCCTTCCATTAGGGACTTCAAACTTGCTTTACCCCACTTTGGGTCTCTCCCATGGATTAAGGCCTCTTGCTGAGGGCTCTAGGGGCTCTCTGTGGAGCTGTCCAAAACCAGTGAGTAACCAGTCCTCACCAAGATCAAAGAAGTCGACCTGGGCCTGGGGAAGCAGGTCGGGGGTCAGCAGGCTGCAGTTGCTTGTGAGTTCTGAGCTGAGGCTATGGGGCTGCCGGGCCTGCACCTGAATGCATATCTGGACAAAAGGAAAGAAAGGAAGTAGGGGGGGAACTGGGCCACTGTAGACATGCCTGTAATCCTAGCATTCAGGAGACTGGGGCAGGAAGATGGCAAGTTCAAGGCAAGAGTCTGTCTCAAAACAAATCCATACACACACACTTAATAATCTGAATCATGGCCTCTATTATAGCCACACTATTAGCCCATTACAGAACTCAATGCATTTCCAAACCAAGGAGGAAACCCCCATTTTGCCCCTCACCGGATTGATGCTTGAGTCAAAGCTATAGTCAGTAACTTGGTTGGAGCATGGGCCATGAGGAATACTTGGTCAGCCCTGGCGTTAGCACAGGCAGGACTAGGCCAGGTACAAGGAAGACAGCACATCAGTCGGAACTGGCATGCGTACCAGAGTCACCCAGGGGAGTCAGTGCCAAACTCCCCTTGACCCTGAATCCACCCATCCTTTCCTACTCACCAGGACACCATGCTGGTTCCGGACAACTGTGATTCCCCGGTGCTTCCCCTTTAGGACAGGGACATGCTCTGAAACAGGTCAACCAGGTAAGGAGGGACAAGGACCAGGAGGCCACTCTGGAGCCAGGGTCAGAGGGCACAGGGCTGCTTGTCAGGGGCTCCTGAGCAGCCTTTGAAGGCAGGAGCTGGGACTTCAGAAGTAGACCTGGAAATGTCTAGGTTGTATTACCTATCCCAGCCCAATTTACCATCTCAACAAATGCCCTGGACACCTGCTCCATGCCCAGCCTCGTAACTTGTGAGGATCGAGATCCAGAAATGATGATATTCTGTAGCTTCTCCTTGAGGGGCTTCTTGTCTAAGGCACTTCTGAGTGGAGAAGCACTGCTAGCGGATGTGTACAGTACACAAAGTGTGCAAAACACTATGGGCCGGAAAGTGTGGATCCACAATCCCCTCAGCTTCAAAGACCTTCCCAGGGAAATTTCCTGCTCCACTTACAGCTTTTTTGATGGTTAATTGGAAATAAGAGTTTCACAGACTTTCTTGCCCAGGCTGGATTTGAACCACAATCCTCAGGTCTCAGCTTCCTGAGTAGCTAGGATTACCTAGCTCTAGCACTCCTGTTGACAATCTACTTGTCTGGACAGACACTGAGTCTGCACAACAGAGTGTGCCTCTCACTGGTCTGAGGATCACAGCTTGAAGCCAGCTGGGGCAGGAAAGTCCATGAGACTCATCTCCAATTAACCAGCAAAAAGCCCTAAGGTGTGGCTCAAATGGCAGAGCATCAGCCTCAAGTGTGTGGCACCAGGTGGGCTTGGAATGGTGGTGGGAGAGCTGGGCCTGGGAATTGGGCTGGAGGACCAGATGGGTGGGCAGGATTAAGTGAGGCTGGAGCTGGGAAGGGTGGGTTGGGATGAGTGGGATTCCTAGAAAGGGGCCTGGGTTGCACATCCTGGAAACAGGCCTGACCTACCCACTGGCTGGCAAACGATTCCATCCTGGGTGAGGGAGCATCGATGCAGAGGTGCTGAGGTCTTGTTGGCACTGGTGACCAGAAGCCTGAGTGGAAAACAGACGGTGGCAAAACCAGGCTGGCTGAGTGTTCCCTTCTCCTCCATGCCTGCCCAAGCACAGGCCCATTCCAGAACCTTTATGACCAACCACGACAAAGGCCCAGAAAAGAGAGACACAAGCTGTTCCCCTAACACAAGACTGCAGATGCTATATTGTAGGGAAGGCCTTTTCTCAATCTCCATTTCCACACAAGATGGTGAAATGCAGCCCTTTTTCGCCTGCCACCCACCCTGACAAAGCGGGGGGTAGGGAAACATCTGGTGACATAGCCAGGGTCACCAGCAGCAGTGTCGGTTTGTTTGGAAGGAGATCTGAGGCTCAGCTTGTGAGAGTGAACCAAGTGCAGGGTCTTCGTGCTGTCGGGGGCAGGAAGTAATGGAAGACTTTATAAAGGAGAAGCCAAACTCAGTATGTGTTTCTGAAAGGTCATGATGTGGGTTTCATGGATTAGGGGTCAAGCTAGAGAACAAGCTAGTGAGGAAGAGAAACAAGGTGTTGTTCCCATTTCACCAATTCCTATCACAGTACTTTTTTTTTTTTTTTTTGTCGGTCACGGGGCTTGAACTCTGGGCCTGGGTGCTGTCCCTCAGTTCTTGAGCTCAAGGCGAGCACTCTACCACTTGAGCTACAGCGCCACTTCCAGTTTTCTAGTGGTTTATTGGAGATAGGAGTCTCACGGTCTTTCCTGCCCGGGCTGGCTTTGAACCGCAATCCGCAGATCTCAGCCTCCTGAGTAGCTAGGATTACAGGTGTGAGCCACCAGTGCCCGGCTTACTTTTTTTTTTTTTTTCCATTCCTGGGGCTTGAACTCAGGACCTGGGCACTCTCTCTGAGCTGCTGCTTCTTTTTTTTTTTTTTTTTTATGCTCAAGCCACAGCGCCACTTCTGGCTTTTTTCTGTTTATGTGGCACTGAGGAATTGAACCCAGGGCTTCACGCATGCTAGGTATGCACTCTACCACTAAGCCACATTCCCAGCCCCATGTTACATGTTTTAAATGATGAAATAGATTTACATGTTTGCATGGTTGACAGACTAATAGGTCCATACTTACAAGTCCCTAGTTATTATACTAACTGCCCAACTCCAACTGCTAACCTCACATTGTGTTGATTTCTGCCCTTTGGCACAGCTCTTGTCAAGGTCACCTGTGTCCCACATGGTCAAACCCAGTGGAACCCTTTCTGCCCTCATCTTTTTTTTTTTCCTGGTCATGGGGCCTGAACTCTGGGCCTGAACACTGTCCCTCAGCTCTTCAGCTTAAGGCTAGCGCTCTACCACTTGAGCCTCAGTCCCACTTCTGGCTTTTTCTGCTTATGTGGTGCTGAGGAATCGAACCCAGGGCCTCATGCATGCAAGGCAAGCACTCTACCACTGAGCCACCTTCTCAGACCATCTGCCCTCATCTTCTTCAGCCTCTCAGCAGCCTGGGACATGAGTGGCCATCTTCTCCTTCACATTTTCCTCCTAGTTTTCCTCACCTATTTGTCTTCTTCAAACTCCCTGCTGGCACATTTGCTGTATGATTGCTGAATATCATCCAGGCTCTAGAGTTTAGTCCTTTCTAGTTAGCATGTTCTCCCAAGTGATCCCTTCCCATGCCAGGATTTCAATCTATCTCACCCTCTGTGTGAGTCCTGACTGCAATCCTCAAGTGGAGACCAGGAAGACAGCTGAGATCCCTTGTTAATCCAGATGTTCTGCCACTTATGTCGCGCGGGTCATTGGGCCCGCTGCCATCTATGGCTTTAGGAAGCAAAAAAGTGGCCCCTGAGATGTCATCCTCATGTAAATATTTTACCTTTGATGGCACCAGAGACTTAATAGATAGGATTAAATTAAAATTTCAGATGGGGCTGGGAATGTGGCTTAGTGGTAGAGTGCTTGCCTGGCATGCACAAAGCCCTGGGTTCGATTTCTCAGTACCACATACACAAAAAAGGCCAGAAGTGGCACTGTGGCTCAAGTAGTAGAGTGCTATCCTTGAGCAAAAAATCTCAGGGAGGGACTGGGAAGGTGGCTCAGTGGTAGAGTGATAGCCTTGAGTAAAAGAAGCTCAGGGACAGTGCTCAGGCACTGAGTCCAAGCACCAGGACTGGCAAAAAGATTTTTTTAAAAATTAAAAGTAAAGCTCAGGGGCTGGGAAGGTGGCCCAGTGGTAGAGTGCTTGCCTCCCATGCATGAAGCCCTGGGTTTGATTCCTCAGCACCACATAAGCAGAAAAAGCCAGAAGTGGAGCTGTGGCTCAAGTGGTAGAGTGCTATCCTTGAACTGAAGAGCTGAGGGACAGCACCCAGGCCCAGAGTTCAGGCCCCACGACCGGACCCAAAAACAAATTTAAAAAAAAAATCTCAGGGACAGTGTCTAGACCCTGAGTTCAAGCCCATGGACTGGCAAAAAAAAAGTCTTGAGATGGGGAAGAAGTCTGGATTATCTGGGTGGACCTATACAACCACGAGGCCCTTTTCTTTTTGTGCCTTTTTTCTCTCTTTTTCAGTTTTTTCTTCCCTCTGTCCCTTTCTCTTTCTCGTTCTCTTTCTCTTTTTTAATTTCTTGACGTCCTGGGGATTAGGCCTTACACTTGCTAAGGAAACCCTCTGCCACTTGAGCCAATCCCCAGTCCTCCAAAGGTCCTTAAAAGAGGAAGACATGAGAACCAGAGTCAGAGAAATATCTGAAACAGGTGATGCTGCAGGCTTTAAAATGCTTCGGCCCCAAGACCTTCCTTGACCTAAGCCCATTGCTAGGCTGCTCCCTCCACATAGACTTCTCCCCTCCTACTCCCCCGTGTGGCTAATTCCTATTCCTGCACTCAACTGTGCCCTTCACCTAAATGCTTCCTCCAAACAGCCCTCCTCACAACCCAGTTGTACTGCTTCACATCATCCTGTTTTACTCCCTTCTCAGAACTTGTTGCCACCTGATGATGTCTTCTATGTCATTTACTTGCTCATTATCTATCTCCCCCACTAATTAGCTCCACTTTATTCACCATGTAATTCCAGGCCTGGAACAGTGCCTGGACAGCACATAAGCTTGTATTTGTCACATGGCTTGAATGACAGCCTCACCAATGACAGGGGTTGATCTGCAACAGGCATAGAAGGCCAGGTGCTCCTGGGCTCCTAAATTAGGTCACCCTTCAGCGTCCCCCGCCTCTTCCCCAGACTAAACCTCAGTTCAGTCTGCTGACCTGGCACCTTGTTCTCTGCTCCCCACAGCAGATAGGCTTAGCCAATTTCCCCCAGACCACGTTTCAGGCCAGGTACAGGCCTATAACAACTTCATTTCTCCTCTTGAGCCTTTGTCCAGGCTGTTTTCTCCACCTGTAGCACTTTGTGCTTCCTTCTCCTGCAGAAACACCACTCCACATACTACTCTTTTTTGGGGGGAGTCCGGTCGTGGGCCTCGAACTCTGGGCCTGGGCGCTGTTCCTCAGTTCTTCAGCTCAAGGCTAGCACTCTACCACTTGAGCCACAGCGCCACTTCCGGCTTTTTTTTTCTGCTTATGTGGTGCTGAGGAATCGAACCCAGGGCCTCAGGCATGCAAGGCAAGCGCTCTACCACTGAGCCACCTTCCCAGCTTTGCTTCCACATACTACTCTTTAGGAACCTTCCCAGGCTTCCTTGACTCCAGCAAGCCCTCCAGGGTGCCCTGACTACTGGAAGCCCCCCTCCATCCCAGCTTTTGTTCCCACTTGAGTTGTGAGCTTCCAAGAAACAACCAGAGGCTATTATATTAGCATTCATCATCATGAAATTCTGTGACCTGTGTCCAGTCTAGGCCACTGCTGCTTACCACCCATTTTATTTCCTACCCAGTAGTCTCCAGGTTTGCTTAGCTATCCACTGATTGATTGTGCCATTACTGAGCTTGAGCTCAGGGCCTTGGCTCTGTCCCTCAAGGCTGCACTCTACCAGTTGAGTCACAGCTCCATTCCTGGCTTTTTGGTGATGGACTTTCTTGTCTGGATTATCTTCAAATCATGATCCTCAGATCTCAGCCTACTGAGTATTTAGAATTATAAGCATAAGCTACCTATACCTGGCTTAACGGAGTTATTTATGAGCCAACTAAGCACTGGCCCACCAGCTGTGACAAAGTCCCAGCCATCTGTCACCAGCCCTAAGGAATCTATTCCATCTTGGACGAGTTGAATCGCTAGTACTTGTTGTTCATCCCTTGCCTTCTCCCAGTCCTAACTGTCCTTTTCCTCAGAGGCATTGCCTAATCTTTCTGAAAAGGCTTGCTTTATGTCCCCCCTCACCCCCTGGAGCAGTCACAGCCCAGTGCCAGTGCCATCAGCCTTAGTTTGGTGAGGGTGGGGTTGGAAGAATGGGGGAGAATGATGAAAGGAGTAAATCGATCAATATGGACTGTACTCATAAATTGTTATGCTGAATTAAAAATTTTTTGCATATTACTTAAAATATTCTTGTGTGCATCCTGTTACGGGGTCTGAGGTTGGGTTCTGGGTGCTGTCCCTGAGCTCTTTTACTTAAGATTAGCACTCTATCACTTTGAGCCACAGCTCTACTTCCAATTTTTGAGTGGTTAATTGGAGATAAGAGGCTCACGGGGACTATTCTTCCCAGGCTGGCTTCAAACTGTGATCCTCAGATCTCAGCTGCTGAGTAGCTAGGATTATAGCTGTGAGCCACTGGCACCTGGCTAAAAATAATTTTTAAAAAATTAATTTTTTAAAAATAAAATAATTTTTTTGGCCTGGGAATGTGGCTTAGTGGTAGAGTGCTTGCCTAGCATGCATGAAGCCCTGGGTTGGATTCTTCAGCGCCACATATACAGAAAACCTGGAAGTGGTACTGTGCCTCAAGTGGTAGAGTGCTAACCTTGAGCACAGAGGCTCAGGAACAGTGCCCAGGCCCTGAGTTCAAGTCCCAGGAATGGGATATATATAATTTTTTTAAAGAAATAAAGTGAGAAAGTCAGGCCATACAGTGCTGTTCTTCACACCCTGTTTCTCTGTTCCTCTATCACTCAGGCCAGCCAACAAGTGCATTTCCTGTCCTGTACAGCAGGCCCCAGACTCAGGAACCCCCAAGTTCCACCACATCCTCCTTCCAGTGAGCCAAACTGCCTCAGCAGTCACCAGGGTGGGGTGAGGGGGTTCTTGAGTCCCGCCAGTCTCCCACCCACTGGCAGACTTCTAGCCCTCTGAACTACACATTTCAAACACAAACACCTGGGCAATTTGGCCTCTAAAGGGATGTTAAAGGCTGGCTGCCAGTGGCGCACAACTATAAGTCTACTTGCTCAGGAGGCTGAGATCTGAGGATGGTGGTTCGAAGCCTGCCTGGGCAGGAAAGTCCCTGAGATTCTCATCTCCAGGTAATCATAGAAAAAGCAGGAAGTGGCTCTGGTGGTAGAGTGCTAGTGTTGATCAAAAGAAGCTCAAGGACAGTGTTTAAGCCCTGAGTTCAAGCTCCAGGACCAACACACACACATACTGTATGTTAAGGTCTGTGAGGCCTGGAGTCGGGGAAGGAACCTAGATTAATGGTAGAAGGAGCTGTGGCAGAAGATGGTCATAGATCACTGGCTAAAACTGCTCATGCCAGGTGCTGGTGGCTCATGTCTATAATTCTAGCTACTCAGAAGGCTGAGAGCTGAAGATCTAACCCAGGCAGAAAGTCTCCAGCCTTGAGCAAAAAAAAAAACTATGGGACACCATCCAAAGCCCCAGAACACACACACACACACACACACACACACACTGCTGGTGGAAGGAGCATGAGACTGCATCTTCAGGCAGCACAATGCAAGAGCACCTGATGCTGAGTGAGAGAAGCCAGAGAGAACACATCTGGAATGCCTCCGACTGACACTCCAGTCAGGCAGAGGGCCCTGCTGGTAGAGGTGTGCCTGGAAGCCTGGGGCTTCTAAGGACATTCAGGAACATTCTGTGAACATTTACTAGGCACATTCAGGCTCAAAAGAATTGCTTTTTTCTTCTTCTTTTTTTTCCAGTCATGTTAAGTGGGGTAAGCCAAGCTCAGAGAGACAAACGGCACATGTTTTCTCTCATAAGTGAAAGCTAGATCTAAACTACAACTGGACACCATAATTTATACCGGACTCGAGGCACTCGCACATAGATTACAAGAGGATAGCCTTAGAGGAGGGATGCAAAGGCATAACTCCTCTGAACATTCAAAATACTATTTATCAAAACAAATTCCAGGAAATGGAAACGTGAGTTTTTTGTTGTTATTGTCAGTAGTGGTGGTGTTTGTTTTTGCTTTGTTTTTTGTTGTTTGTTTTTAGAGGGGGCAAAGGGAGGAAGCAGAAAGGGAGGGAGGCAGCGTGAATAAATGCAGTCATGTTATTCAGTATACACTACACGGAAAATGAACTGTGTAACTTGTGGGCAGGGATAGGAGGGGCAAAATGAAGAAAGAAGTGACATTGTCCAAAGAAAGAAATGTACTCATTACTTGACCTGACTTATAACATGGTAACCCTTCTGTACAATACCTTGATAATAACAACAAAATTATATTGACTTTTTCAAAAACAACACAGTAAGTTCTAATTCTTTCTTTCTTTTTTTTCTTTTCTTTCTGTCTTTGTGTGTGTGTGTGTGTGTGTGTGTGTGTGTGCCAGTCATGGACTTAACTCAGAGTTCTGGTGTTGTCCCTGAGCTTTCTTGCTCAAAGCTAGTGCTCTACCACTTGAGCCACAAATCCATTTCCTGCTTTTGGTGATTAATTGGTGATAAAGATTTGACAGACATTCCTGCCCCTGGCTTCAAACTTTGATCCTCGGATCTTAGCCTCCTGAGTAGCTAGAATTACAAGCATGAGCCACTGGTACCTGACTTTCCAACTCAGTTTTCAAAGCCCAAATCTTCCTGACAGTCTCACCACCCCTATAGCTTCCTTCCTACCTATGTCCTCCATCTTCCTCAGCCTCAGTCCCAGGACATGTTCTCAGAAACTTTTTACTCAGAGCAGCCTCCTGACCTTTTACCAAGCTGCTCTCTGCTTAGACTTTCCTCTATGAACCTTCTCTTGCTGCCTCCAGTCATTTCCTCAGGTCTTATGTAGATGGATGGTCTGTTCCCAGGCATCCTATATGTCCCCAACCACAGCTGCCACCATTCTTGTCCTTGTGTGATTTTTCTGTGTCCCTCATGAATCCAGGAGCTCCCCAAGTGTCTCTCCTAACCTTAATTAGCACTGAGCAGACGTTCCATACATACCTGCTGAATGGGTGCATGGTTGAAAGAACGGACTGCCACTGACATCTGATTGAACTCCCAGAGCAAGCCCCAGCCCTAGCCCCTAGCTTTGCATGCATTCTTAGAATGGAGAATCTCAGGAGCACATGATGCCAATATGGGTAGAGTCATCTCCAGTAGTGGAGATTTAAGAAATTTTTTTTGTTGTTTTTTTGTTGGTCGTGGGGCTTAAACTCTGGGCTTGGGCACAGTCCCTCAGCTCTGCAGTTCAAGGCGAGCGCTCTACCACTTGAGCCACAGCACCACTTATTACATGAGTGAGCCATCGGTGCCTGGCTTAAGTAATTTTTAAGCCATTCACATCAATAGATACCTATTACTTTCAACTTTAATCCTGGTAATTTAGACTCCTTAGTTTAATAAGCAACAGAAGTCCACTATTGACAATTAAAACATAATATTGTAGCATGTAATTTACACTTTGTTTTTCCCATTGCCCCAGTGAGGAATATATATATATATATATATATATATATATCTTCTCACTGTTATAAACATTGTGACGATCAACATTTTTACATGTGAGAGTTAGAGATGTAGTTCTGAGAATGTGCTTAGAATTCTCAAGACTGTGAATTTAATTCTCAGCACCCACCTCAAAAACAAATCTATAGCTAGGTGCTAGTAACTCATGCCTGTCATCCTAGCTACTCAGGAGGCTGATATCTGAGGATCATGGTTCAAGGTCAGCCTGGACAGGAAAATCTATGAGACTCATCTCAAATTAGCCACCAGAAAATTGGAGGTGGTGCTGTGGCTCAAAGTAGTAGAGTGTTAGCCTTGGGCAAAAAAGCTCAAGGACAGTGCCCAGGCCTTGTGTTCAAGCCTCATGATGGACAAAAAAAGTATTTTCTTGCTGAGATCTGAGGATCACAGTTCAAAGCCAGCCTTGGTAGGAAAGTCTGTGAGACATATCTCCAATTAACCATCAGAAAACCAGAGGTAGAACTGTGGATTCAAGTGGTAAAGTACTAGCCCTGAGCACCAAAGATCAGGGACAGCACCTAGGCCCTCAGTTCAAGCCCCAGTACCAGCACAATTTTTTTTTCATTAGTGCTAGCACTTGAATTCAGAGCCTCTTGTCCTCACTTGACTTTTTTTTTCTCTCTCTGAAGGCTGGCATTCTACCATTTGAGCCACTTTCACTTCCTGACCAACTTCTAGCTTTTTGGTGGTTGAGGTAAGAGTCTCATGGACTTTTCTGCCCAGGCTGGCTTCAAACAGCAATCCTCAGAGCTCAACCTCCTTAATAGGTAGTATTAAGAAATGTGCCACCGGTGCTTGGCAAAAAAAAAGGTGGTCCTGAGAGTTTCTCTAATGTAAGGGACATGACCTCTTTGTCAGCATCGTAAGCACCCTCAACTTTACCAGATATGGCAGTGCTGGGCTCCAAGGGGGGCTACCAAGCTCCCTCCCACACTGTCCTGTCTCACCACATCCTTCCCCACACAGCCTTGTCAGAATTGACATTTTTTGCTTCTCTAGTGGGTGCATACAGATGAGGTTCTCAAAATATAAGGTAATATTTATTGAGCCTTCATTTGTCTAGAAATTTTGTGATGGGCTTTATATGTTCATTATCTTACATAGTCTTTGCAACAACCCTTCGAGGTAGGGAAATGGCAACTTCCATGGAGAGGAGAAGCCCTTGCTCCTGGCCCAGCTCCTTGACAAGGTGACCTTGGGATCACAGAAAGTCTGTGTGGAACCAGTAGCAGAATGGCAGCGGCCTCAACTTCTGGCTCTTGGGCTTCACATGTTCAGTCTGCATTTGAATTTTTTGGGGGGGTCACTTTGCAGATTTTCTACACTGAGCACATTAACATAAAAGCCCTTATGAGCTTTACTTTTTTTATTTTTTGCCGGTCGTGGGGCCTGAACTCCGGGCCTGGGCGCTGTCCCTGAGCTCTTCAGCTCAAGGATAGCACTCTACCACTTGAGCCACAACTCCACTTCTGGCTTTTTCTGCTTATGTGATGCTGAGGAATCGAACCCAGGGCTTCATGCATGGGAGGCAAGCACTCTACCACTGAGCCATCTTCCTAGCCCCTGAGCCTTACTTTTAATTTAAAAAAAAATCTTTTTGCCAGTCCTGGTGCTTGGACTCAGGGCCTGAGCACTGTTTCTTTTACTCAAGGCTATCACTCTACCTCTTGAGCCACAGTGCCACTTGTGGCTTTTTCTGCATATGTAGTACTTGAGGAATCAAACCCAGGGCTTCATGCATGCTAGGCAAGCACTCTACCACTAAGCCACATTCCCAGTCCTTATGATCTTTATTTTAAAATTGTTTTTAAGTTTCCCCTTCTCCCAGGGAGGGGAGAAGAGGAAGGCTGAGTGAATGAAGGATCAGGGACTCTGAGGACTTTCCAGAGGTCCCAGCCTCTCGACCTTTATCTCTCGGTCCAGGACACACTTCTGAAAATGAGAGGAGTTTTACCCAGGCTGTGTGTTGGAGTGTCCTGGCCTTTCCTGGGGTATATGTACCTCAGGTTTCCTGGAGATCCCTCTCCCCAATCCTTGCCTTCCTGCCTGCAGGCCCCAACTCACCATGTCTGGTTGGTGCTGGGATCTTGGTGCAGCAGGGAGCTGAGCACAAAAGGGCCTCCCTCTGGTGTGACCCAGGGCTGGGTTACATCCACATTGAAGGCCACAAGCATGTTCCAGCCTGTGGGCAAAAGAGGAACATTTAATGAAATAAACACTTTGCTGTGGCTGTAACTTGGCCTTTATTCCCAGAATTCCACCAGATCCTGTGGAGTCACTATCTCTGTTTTACAGGACAGAATTGTGAACCGCTCACCCCCAAGGAGCAGGAGTATATGTGGGCCTATCTGATCCAGAGCCTCTGATCCTCCTTCTAAACCAAGCTGCATTGGCCCCAGAGCCTCCTCAGAAGACCTTCCATGTAGGCCACTGTCACTTGTTCATACTCTCTGCAAGCCTTTCTCCTGTCCCAGGAAGCAGATTCATCACTGAGTCCTGCACCAAAGTTAAGATAGACCATGAGCCCTCAAAGAGGGTTTGACATGTGCTGTACTCCACTTCAGGTTACCCAATAGAAAACATATGTCCTCAGAAATACCTTCCCTAGAGTGCTTTCTCACCCTTTATTCATTTACAATCCATTAATGGAAGAAAGGATAAACTAATTGTGGATATTTTTTCACATAACAGAATGGGAATATCCAGGAGGCAAAGGGGGTAACTGTGTTACATGCCACTGTAGAGGAAACCTCAAAAGACCTTCATGCTGAGTAAGAAAAAAAGTACTAGATATATATCTATTGTATGAGGAGCTGAGAAGTGGCTCAGTGGTAGAGCGCTTGCCTTGCATGCCTGAGGCCCTGGGTTCAATTCCTCAGCACCACATAAGCAAAAAAGAAAAAAGCCGGAAGTGGTGCTGTGGCTCAAGTGGTAGAGCGCTAGCCTTGAGCTGAAGAGCTGAGGGACAGCGCCCAGGCTCAGAGTTCAGGCCCCATGACCAGACACCCCCCCCAAAAAAAATCTACTGTATGGTTCCATTGCTCTAGAACTAGCAACATTCAACTATAGTAAAGCCAGAGTGGAAAAGTGAATAAGGATTTATTGGGAAGGGACAGGAAAGAACCTTTTAGAATGATGAAAATATGCTTTATATTGACAGAAGTTTTGATTACAAAGTTTTATCTGCTTGTCAAAACATACTAAATGGTACACTTCAAATTTGTGCATTTCTCTGTATGTATCTTTTACCTTAAGAAAGACTATAGCTGGGAATGATGGAGCATGTCTGAAATCCCAGCACTCAGGAGGTAGAGCATTTCAAGTTCAATGTCAGCCTGGACTACACATCAAACCTTATCTCATTTTTTTTTGGCCAGTCCTGGGGCTTGAACTCAGGGCCTGGGCACTGTCCCTGAGCTTCTTTTGCTCAAGGCTAGCACTCTACCACTTGAGCCACAGCACCACTT